TAATTGTAACAAGCAGTGTTTAAATGTGATTTATAAATAAATCTAACACAAAGATAATCATTTAATGAGTAAGCTCCAACTTTTAATTTGCTGGCAAAGGCTGAAGACACTGCAGGTATGGCAGGATGAATTGCATTTAAACAGGAATTAAAGTAATTTATTACATCTACTCAAATGTGTGTAATTAAGTATTATATATATATATATATATATGTGTGTGTGTGTGTGTTTACTTGCTCTTTAAGCTACTTTTGCCTGACCCTAACACTGTAAGTGAAACAAGGCATGTCTTGAGTTGCTGTAAATTATGCTATAAAACATATTTACTGTCTCATTCCAGAAAACAACAACAAACAATGACACTTCATGTTGGACAGACATCATGGACACCACAGCAGCAGCTTCACTGAAATCATCCTTAAATGATCGTCACTGACATGAGGCCTCTGTTGATGGTTGAAGACGAAGGCTTCACTACAATAATCCACATTTTTTAATCCAGGTTACAATAATCCAGGTTACAATAATCCACACTTTTAATCCAGGTTACAATATTCCACACTTTTAATCCAGGTTACACTCTTCCCTCAATGACACATTTTACAAAGTAGCTACATATTGTGCAGGTATAAACATACATTTGTATATATTTTTGTGTACATGCATTTTTTTAAGCTATTTGACTAACTTTTATTTTTTATTATTCAATATTTTACTAACAGAATAGTCAAATAGCAACCTGTTTTTGTGTGAATAGCTTAGTCAGTCAAATGTTCAATTTTGGAATAAAGGGGTGGGAATTACCCCCCCCCCCCCCCCCCCCCCCCATTAATCGAGAGAAGAAAAAAAAAAAAAATCGGTCAATGAATCGATTATTGAAATAACCGTTAGTTGCAGCCCTAATAATCTTTTTATTTTCGCTTCATGGTACAAAGCACCAAAAATGTTTACTGATTTCTACCAGAAAGGAGAATTTTAAATAATGCTTCATAAAACTTGGCTAAATATTGCAGTTAATAAAATAATCAAGAGGGAAACTGAACATTTTTAAATACATACAACATTGTATCATCTACATACGAGTTGATCAACTTTATCAAACCTTCTATGAATCTGTTGTAGCGACTGACAACTGGATGATTTTTCAGAATTTTGATCAGCCTTTTGGGCCATCCATGGTCCAAAAGGCTGATCAACCCTCTTTTAAAAGGACACTTACTTAAATTACACTTTTGTTACTAAGAACAGACTAAAATGAACTTTCCAAACAAGAAAACTACAAACATGAACCCAACAAATCAAATAAATCAAATCATGTTTAATACAAAAAAAATATAAGCTTAGTGTTTATGAGGCTGGCAGCACGGTGGCGCAACTGGTAGAGCTGCTGCCTCTCAGCGAACAGGTCCCTGGTTCAAACCCCGGTCCAGGGGCCTTTCTGGGTGGAGTTTGCATGTTCTCTCCATGCATGCGTGGGTTTTCTCCGGGTACTCCGGTTTCCTCCCACAGTCCAAAAACATGCATGTTAGGCTGATTGGTAACTCTAAATTGTCCCTAGGTGTGAGTGAGAGAGTGAATGGTTGTTTTTCTCGTTTGTCTCTATGTGTCCCTGTGATGGACTTGCGACCCGTCCAGGGTGTACCCCGCCCCTCGCACAGTGATTGCTGGACATGGGCACCAGCGACACCCGTGACCCAAAATGGAATAAACGGGTAAAGATAATGGATGGATGGATGGTTTATGAGGCTTTTAATGTTTTTGATCTACAACAATTTAAAACTCTTTCTCCACCAAAATGTGTAAACTTTTGTCCTTTCTCTAAAATGTTGTTCATGTTGAGAGTTAGTCACATTTTTTTGATCCACAAGTCCTTTTTTGATAGTTTAGACCCACATATGAAAACATCTGGACACCCCTGACATAGGAGGACCAGAATCTGTGAATGCACAGGGAAATACACACATAAATACACACAAATGACACACACAGTTACTTTCTGCCGGTTGACAGTGTTCATAATTAAAGCTGAAGTCAATATCCACACAAAATTAGATCTCAATTGAAATAGCTAATTTGGTTTGGTTATCTGTTTTAAAGATCTGATGAATAGTAACAAGTGTGTGAAAGTGAGATCATTGTAATGCAATGCCAGACCTTCAATCTGCTGATGAATTAATGAGCTATCAAAGTGTATCATTTGAACCTTTTTGTATTCTTATTTCTAAGAGGTAATTAGTTCACTATAAGGTGGATAAATATCCTGTCAAGATGTGGAATGAAAATCTCTGAGAATAAATGTATGTGCTGCTTTCTGTTGTGGTTTCTGTTTTTATTTGTATCATATTTTCTTTTAGTCGTTATGACATTGACTATTCATTAGAACTTAGCTAATGTTACTCATTGTGCAGTTGCCATTCATTTGTCATTTGTTCACTTTGATATTTTTTGATATTCTTGTTTTAATTATTCAACACTACAAAAATGAGAAAAAAACCCACTGGATTGTTGCTTTTTGTACTTTTCTTTAAAGCTTTTTTTTCATCCACTCATTCTAATCCTCATCTTTTTCTTCCTCTTTCATTCCTCATAGATGAAGGTTCAGAGCCGAGTTCAGGCCGTGACACTCCTGCAAGTAGTTCATCCCGCCAGGGAGTTGATCAAACAGAAGAGAAAAGCAAAAAAGACAAGAAAAAGAAAGATAAAACTAAGAAGAAGGAAAAAAGCAAAGGCAAAGGAAAGGAAAAGGAGAAAAAGAAAGTAGATGAGCCTGAGGAAACAGAAAAGAAGAGCAAGAAAAAAGGCTTTGGTCTTCTGAGGTAAGTAAAGGAATTTATCCATCTAACAGGACCAGTTTGCTTTTGCTGCTTTAGCAATGTACTCCCATTACAGCCTCAGCTTGGCAAAGCTGTGCTAAACCTGTTTTTTTTAAACATCAAATCAACATTTTGTGTGACTGTTTGTGTTTGAAGCAGCATCAGCTCTTTTTGCTACACCTACATAGTTATGAAGAGACTCAGCAGGTAACTCATTCCAGATATATAGAACTAACCACACGTCTTCTGTGAATGAAGTCTGGCTCAAATCCTTCCGTTTCTTCAGATGATCACTGACAAGTTTGATGATGTTGAAAAATTGACCGTGTAAGCCACATCACATTCAGAACGCCTTGTTCTTCATGTCATTTTTTTAAAGACGTATGCTTGGGGTCATTGACCTCAGATACCTCTCTGATAGAGTTGCATCATAGATATGTTTCAACCAGTTTTACTCAGCACTGAGTTTTATTAGCACTATTAAGTTTGACCAAATCCCCAGATGCAGTTGTTGAAATGCAACCCCAAACCACCACCGTGCTCCACTGTGGTGGCCTGCAGGCACTCATGATTGTTCTGCTTTCCAGGATTTTGGTAAACAAACTGTTTTCTGTTTTTGACTCTCCACTCCAGGCCTTATTCAAAAGCTCAAATGAAGACCATGGTCACTTTTTATTACTGTCATTACTTGCATCATTGTCACATGCAGTACTTTGTGAGCTAGAGATACTTTTGTTTTCAAAGGTTTTCTCTTTCTTTCTGCTGCATTTGAAAAGGCCTTAGGTCTCAGTTAAAACAAACTACATTTGTATACACACACACACACACACACACACACCAGTGTTTCCCTGGCCTGTCAACAGAACTGAGCGCCCTGTCTACCGAACCCCCACCCCTCGACAACTGGTGGTATTGATGTAGCGCGGGGTGCAATACAAACGCGCTAGCAAAAATGCTACTGATGTACGGCTCTGCTCCGTTATCCATCCCCCTCTCCCCTTCGACGATTACTGGCAGCAACGTAGCGCTAAGCTAGCAGGCAGGCAACACAGTCGTGACCCCACCCCACACCTACCCCTAATGAAGAAAAAGAATATGAGTGCCCTGCCAAGGGAGCTCATCCAGGGAAAACACTGTATACATTTATTTTACAGTTTTTTTTGGTTTTGTTTGTTTGTTTGTTTTTTGCTGCTTGATATAGATACAGTATTTATATTGACCTAACAGGAACCTCAGCAAAAAATAAAATTATACCTTTTTCCCCCAACTGGCATTTTTCGTCTTTAAAGTTTTTGTTACGTCACATTATATTTATCACAAAGAACAGATCACTGCGGCAATAAACCTTTTTATTGTGAAAGTCACAGTCTGTCATACACAGGTATTAGTACAGATGTTTGTATTTGTTTTTTCTAAACAGCCGCTGCTTTTATACTATTACAGTTGTGAATACTGAGCAGTGGCGGCTGGCCAATAGAGGGTGCAAGGGTGCCGCCTCACCACTCACCACATTACCTTGAATAAGACATAAAAATTTTAAATAAAAATTCAATAATAAAATAAAATTATTTCTAAATATATGTATATACATTTTTAGTTGTGTAAAATAAATATTTTTTAGGTAATGATGAGTAAAGTTATTTTGTTTGTCGACATTGTCTGATTAGTGACGTATTTCCACCCTGGGGTGCAAAAAACTTTGCCCATGGACTCTTATACATGCACAGTAGCTCCTCTTCAATACACGAGATAGGGACCATTCTGGGGCGCACCTCTCCTGTGCCCAGAGCATAATGCAGCTTGATTTGCATATCACTACCCTCCTGCGGTGGGAGTGTGGGATTCCTGCCACGGGACTGACGTCACAGCCATCTGTCATAAAGTTCACCTGATTGACAGTTGGAGATGATCGGACAGAGATGCAAAATGGAGCAAGCGAAATTAAATAATTCAGTGAAGTCACTTAAAACAACACCTTTTGAGAGAAGAACATATCAGGAAAAGCTAGAAGTGAAAGAGCTCAGACCTGATCAGCCAAACATCACAATTAATCATCAATCCAAAGACAGAGGGAGACAGTACGCTCGGTCTTTTTCCAGGCCCTGGTTTAGCAGCAAGGCTTGGCTAACTGCATGTAGCGTGGCTAATGCTTTATTCTGCTTTCCCTGCCTCCTTTTTCAAACATCAGGATCTTATCCAGCATGGATTAAAACAGGTATGACTGATTTAAAGCATTTTTTTAAAAAAGGCAAGGAAGCATGAACAATCAGGGATCCACACTGAAAATGCACTGCGACTAGCCATGTTTGGGAAAATAAACATTTCATGTCAGCTCGATGCAGGGTAGGGATCTGTAAGCCGTAAGTTGTTTTCATTCATGTAAATGCACTGTTGTAATACCTTAGTATATGTTTTGGTATATGTCTATTTTGGAGTTGCAGCCCCCCCTGCAGAAAACTCCACCAGCTGCCACTGATACTGAGGCCTCTCTTTTCTTGTCAAACCTTACTGTTATGTTTTCAGGTACATGTAGACTACTCAATGATGTCCCAGTTTCCTTAAAAGGTGTTGAAACTTATCTGCCAGAGCTATTTTGTGTGATTAACTTTAACACTATCCTTCAGTATGAATGCAGCCTTCATAGAAACACAGCTTGAACTGGGCAAAGTGTTTAACTGAACAGTTTGTGCTTTCTAATTTTATTGCTACATCAAAACCTTTTTTCTTCCTTCTTTGTGGTTATTTTGAAGTGGAATTTTGTCAGACCTATTACATAGATACTGATCTTAAAACGTTTGCATTCAATGTAATCTACAAAACATAGCTGCTGCTTTTCAGTAGACTTACAAAAGCAAACTATTTGAACCGGAATGCGGAAAAATACTTCCAGATTTCAAAGTCCTGGTTTATCACAATGATTTATCTCAAAATTGCATGTTATTTAAAGTAAAATACTGGACAATTACACTAATATGCAAAAATTATACTTAATATAATACATTGAACAGTATTTTTTCTGTTACCACCTTTTGCTTTTATTTCACCTTTTTTCATGCTTATCCACAAACTCTCCCTATTTATAAAACTTACAGTATTCAGTATTTTGTGAGGGTGTTTTTAATGGTTTTGTTTTGCTTATAACGTGTTAAACTATTGTGGTATTCTGTTTATAACTATGCCATTTGTGTCCCCTTGTCAAATATCTGCTTGTTTTGTCAAATGTGTATTACCAATACATACAATGGTGTTATACAAAGTTCTATAAATTTATTAATTGTTTAACTGGTGGCATTCTTTGCTTTCCCTTATCTATATCAATATTTGAGTTGTCCCCCATCACGGAGCAAAAAGGGGAATTGAAAATACCCTCTGTCCATCCATCCGTCCCTGCATGTTGTGAGCATGATAACTTGAAAAATAAGTGAGGTACTGACGTCCATTTTGATGTGTGGCTGCATTTAGGAATAAGAAACTTTTATTTTTGAAAATGTGTTGCCACGTCGAAATTCCAGATGGTCCCTGGTATATATGTAAACTGACCACTCCTATCATTTGAGGAGACTATGCTTTCTGGTTTTTATATAGCTCAACTTTTTTTTTTTCCTTTTATTTTCTTCAAATGATTGGAGTGGCCGCTGCGGTGGCTGAAGATTAGTCTTTGGCAACTTAGGCCACCAGTGGCCACCCCCTGGCTCCGCCATTGCGCCTGAATGGTGGTGAATAAAGTTGCTTCCTCCATTCATCAGACTTTGTCATGCACTGCATTGGACAAGGAAAAAAAAAAGATAAAAAAAAAAAAAACCTCTCTTCTTCTACGCAGTGTAACTCCTACCCATCTTTCACCAAAAACATCACAGCCCCTGTCCAGTTTTAGTTCAGAAAAATACTCGTCTCGAAAACTACAAACATTCACTATTAAAATTTCTCAGTGATGGGGGACTTTGGCATTTTTCTTGTTCTGTCTCCTTGTTATAGTTGTCCTTGTCGTATGTACTTCAGCGGTCTTCTATGTGTTCATCTTAGCCATTTGCAGACAACTCAGCTTTATTATTGTTTGCACAGACCACACTGAAGGCAACACCTTCAGTTGATTTCACTAAGGCTTTTCACTCTCAACATATCCTTTTTTCTAACTACCATTGCTTTTAGCCACGAGTGCTGTAAGAAACGTTATGTGACATTGGGTGATATTTTTAGACCTTTCCTCTACACCTCATCACCATAAGAGTGTCTTGATAAGAGCCTACTGATAATCTCAACCTTTTTTCTTTCATGTCAAATTCATCCCCTTTTTCTCCACCCATCCCACCCCCCAGTCTCTGCATCATTCCAATTTTTCCTCTCCACCTGCTCCCTTTAGCTTCTGCCCCGTTCTGCCTTTGATTGCATGTAATGGTGGTAGACCGAGGAGGCAAATTGGAACTATTCAGTATAGTCGAATCCAGGCTGAGCAGCTGATTAATTCATATTCATCTGAGGGCACCTTTGATTGGCCTAATGGTCTGGAGGAGAGGCAGTGTGAAATACTCGGCCTTACTCTGAGGTATCTGGTTTATGCTCATATTTACTACTGGCTGGTTCGCCCATAGACTAGATTTACTAACTGCTACATTATATTTTCATTGATTCCATCTATTTTCTTTAGGATTTAAAGACAATTATTTGTTTTATTACTGGGATACGCCACTGTAAATTTATCCATTTACTTATTTTTTATTCCACTAAAAAGGGACACACTACAGTCCATAATGTTAATGAAGACCAAGTTTAACTAAGTAAGTGCAATTATATAACTACCCTTTCATTTTTAACCCAGGCATAAAAGTCAAAACTAAATGTTTGTTTAAAAGGTTTTTTAATGTGGACAGCTGTCTCAGTCATCTGAATTGTTGCCACCTGCCAATCAGATGTGCCCATCATCTGTGTGTGTATACACTGTGGTAGCCATCCCATAATCATGCATATTCATATGATGATTAAATATGATTGGTCACGCACTCAGT